TGGGGCTCTCTTGATAAGTCCCGGGAGGAGAAAGTCAGAGGGAAGCAGGGCCGCCCCGAGCGGCCGCGGCGAGCTTTTCTGGCTGCGCCAGCGTTCCGAGGCCTCGGCCCCCGGGGTTCCGGTCTCCCGCCGCCCCAGGCTCTCTCCTGAGAGTGGCCGCCCGGTTCCCGGGCCCACGGTCAGCGGCGCGGCGGGAAGGCTCGGGCCGGGACCTCTGCGCGGGAACCGCGCGGAGCTTGCAGGAGGCCGGGCCCCAGGAAGCAAAGCGAAAGGACAGAGGCCTTCTTTATCCTGCAACCCGCCCCAGCAGACGCCGGCCCGGCGGGACCGCGGCCCCTGCCCTCCCGATGCCCAGGCCGGCGGCCCGGGGGCTGCAGGGAGGCGGAGAGCGGGACTTCCCCCCCGCCCCGGGAGGCCCCGCGGGAGGAGGCCGCCGCCGAGCCTGCGCCGCGCTTCCGCTCTCGCGCCCTCGGGCCGCGCGCCCCGCCTTCCCCCCGCGGCCGCGGGTCCTCCCGCCGCGCCCCCAGCCCTGCCTCCCCGCGCCCCCTTCTCTGCCTGGCCCAGCGACTCCCGGCGGGGCCCTCGCGGGTTTCCAATCCGAACGACAGCCTGACCCCAGCCCCAACCGATGCCCGGCGCCCGCTGCGCCGCTGGAAACTGCGCGGGGACAGCAGAGGTGCTGGTTGGGGTTTGAGATGCTTCGGACTAAAGGAAAAGTCGAGGGCGTCGGGGAGTACACATTTCCCCGCGCTGCTCCCGCCCCATCACCCCTATCGACACTGCGCGCAGTTGTCTGCCGTGGCCCGCGCCGTCTAGCCACGAACCCCGCGTCCCGTCCGCGCGGGGCCCCGCCTGTGGCTAGCTGTGCCTGTGGCCAGCTCACGTCGGCTGAGGACCTTCCGCTCGGGGCAGGCGGGGCAGGCGGAGCCGCGGCACAGCCCTGGCAGGACCCGCACCTGAGGAATGCGTGGGCCACGGGCCCCCGGGTCTCGGCCCGGATGCCGGCTTGGTGTGCTCTAGGGGTCGTTTCCCATGTGGCACCTCCCATCTTTGTCTCTTGTGTCCTGTACTAATAAAAAGGTAAAAGGTGGGAAAGGACTGGTACCTACCTTCTTTGAGACAAGTCCAACAGCGCCGAGATTTTAAAGGGGTGGGGTCTGGGGGGGGGAGTGATGAGGGGGAGTGGCTGACAGACTGCTATGTCAGGGCGCTTAGAGGTTTCTATCTGATGATGCCGGGTTTGGGTACAATTCTTAAGGAAAACTCACGTAAGTCTTTAAAAAGAAGAATTTCACACCACACACACACCCCCCCCCAAACACAGACACACATACCAAGCAGCAATGATTTGGTTTTTACGCATGTCCCCATTGCCTTTGAAAATGTTATGCTGTATTTCAGACTTCCCCATTAGAAGCATCCATCAATTACTTGGTGCTATATGGTGCCTTTGGAAGTGAAATTATTCGTGTGTGGAATCTCCCTAATCATAGTTTACTTTGGGAGTGGAAAAGATGAGTTCTACCTCTGCATCCACTGGATTCCTGGAAAAGGAAGCCATGCACAGGTGTATCTTTAGAACTTTGGGGCCAGCTAAATCACCATCATCTTAATATTTATTGGCCTTAACACAAAAAGAAACGTAAAAACTTTAAAATGTAAAGAGCTGACTTTAAAGGGTTTGAAAACCAAATAGGAAATAAGATACAAACACAATACGAGTGTAGAATTGTTAGTCTCACTCTCTTGGATGGAATTATTGAGTCTCTTCTGCTCTCCGGACAAACTTGACGGCATAACTGGGTGGTCAGCTCAGACCTAAATGTAAAATTCTGACTTTTTTCCCAAAAGAGGGGCAAAGCTACATTTAAGATGTCATATGTTTGCTTTCATCATTATATGTAATATTTTGAGTCCACTCACTTGGTTATGGGGTATGTAATGCCTTTATTTTTAGTTCAAATATGTAAATATGGAGTTATTTCAGTAATTTTAGATTTGGTGTTGGCAAAATGATTATTGTATTCACATATCTTGAATAATTACTAGCAATTGCCAAATGAATGCCTATTTAAATGCTAACACTATGTTTTAATTCTTTGGGGGAGGAGGGAAGGACATTTCAAATCTAGATAAAACTCAGCTAATTTTTTTTAAAAACAAGAAGCGTTTTATTATTTAAGTGATGTTTTAGATATTCTCATCTCTTCACCTAGGTTACCCTAAGTCCCTCGTCTTTGCTCCCAAAGCACTTACAGCGCTTAGAGCAATTACAACTCTTAAAACAGGGGCAGGCTGCAGTACATGCTTATTGAATGAATTAATACTTTGTTTACATGTCTATCTCCTACTAGATTTCATGTCCTAGAAGACAGGCAAAGTGTCTGGCACACATTGATATTTAACATGTGTTTGGCTTGATGGAGGACTATGTATATACACTTGATCCCCCTCAACAGCAGTTTTTAAAATGTGGATGTTAATATCTAATTAGCACATATAAAGCTTTAACTTTTAAAATTCAGCTAGGAGCTGAAGAAAAAATACATGTATGTTAAAATTAGCAAAATTTCTTTTAGGCATGTGTGGAATATATTCCCATGATAATGGGATTTTCTGAATTCCCAAAGCAGATTTTTAAAGAGAAACAGAACAGGATTTTTAAACTGGCTTTATACTGTCATCTTTTTGAGTCTCATTTTCATAAATAGAGGAATTAAATGCAAAAATGATTCTGAAGTTACATATGATTAGCTTTTTGCAAAAGGAGCCAAAGGCTTCCAAACAAACCTTTCATAGAAACACTTTTGCAAGTTGTTCAGATAATATGTTTCATTCTCAAACAAATGGATAGTTAAATGTGTCAAGTACCTTGTATATCTGTAAAGTTAGCTGGTACTGTAAGAACAGTAGTCTTAAATACCATTCTTTAAAAAAAACCCTAAACTATGCCTTTGAATAGGTTTCTTTCCCACTGCTTAACAGTTAGAAGTGCGTATGTGATCATGGGGCATTCAATTAACTTTGTAAAATAGAATGGTATTTTATTTTAATGTTAGTAAGTTGAAAAGTGGGTCAGAAAATACAGATTGGCTTTCATGTCAGTAAAAGTAATCTGTTGTCATATTTTATATTTGAATTACTAACAATTCATTTATATGTATATTATGATCATTCTATATTACACTTCTCCATTTAATTTTTTAAAAAGACTAAAAAAAGAAAGCTAGAATAAAGAGCAAAGATCTACCTTCTTGAATATGTCCAATTTCAGATGTCAACTAGGAATCCTATATTGTGTTTTATCAGGAAGAATACAATTTAACCCATAGACACTGTTAATGCCAGAATCTCAGAATCTTTAGTTAAAAATGATTTATATACCATTTGAACTTAAGTTTTCAAACTTTGTACCATTCCATAAGTAAACTGTTAGGTTTATAGGTTTAGATCTTTTTTCACCATTGAGCTCTTATCTCAACATTTTAAAAGTAGAAAATACATAGTAAAACAGTTAGCAAAAATGGCAGCTGTGGTAGTTTAGGAGTTTGAATTGTTTTAGGACTGAAACCAAATATGGAACCTTTTAGTTTTAAGGGGATTTTCTTTTTCACAAGGCAACAAGGAACTGAAAACAAAATTACAATGAAGGTTTATTTGCAATTTTAATTATTTGCTCAATCTGTTTCCCCCCACATCTCTAAGTGGGAACACACAAAAACTCTAATTTTAAAGGACCTGTTTCCTTAGGGAAATGTGGAGATCATTGTGAAACTTATGCCTTAGAGTTAAGCAAAGGGATGGGGGCTATCCCTGGCTTCAGAGCTGCCAAGCAAAAGAGAGGCACCTGCTGTGGGGGGTAGAAGGGACCCGACAGAAGGCACTTATTCCTTTCTCTGACTGCTGGTCCATTCCCCAACTATCTGGGGTTCTACAAATATCAGGACTTCATCAGAGAGCTCAATTCAGAGTGAGATCTCAAAGATTATTATATAGGACTCACCCCAAACATGAGAACCAGCTAAGTTTGCATGCTCCCTTCTATTGAAGAAGAGCTATCAAGAGGTTTCCTGTCTTGGCTCTACTCAGAGCAGCTGTGGCTATCTATTGACTTGACACCTGGTGAAATTGTAGTTTCTGATAGAGAAATATTTAAAGTTGACACCTGTCATTGAAACATTTAGTACAGTTTTCAGACAAGTTAGAAACCAGTGGTAGACTAAATACTTAGTTTTTGTTAAAACAAGCTGGGTAAAGAGTTAAAGTTATACAAGCTAGGGAAGTCTGGTCAAGATCATTTGAAACAAACTTTCCAGGTAAAAATTGTCTCTCCCTTTCTTTTGGAAATGTCATTCAGCAACAAAATGAAGCCTCAATTTAAAAGACAAAATGTTAAAAATCACATAAAAGCAAGGAAACAGCAAAGTTAGTAGTAATTAGGAGAAAGTTAGGGGAAGAAAGTCACAGGAAGACAGGACATTCATCATATTGTTTGTCTGCTTTTTTCATTGAATCTCTAGGAGTGCTAATTAAATGCTTTCAATACAGTATAATTAAGTGTATGAACATGGTTGTCTTGACCCTCCAAGGAATCCTGAAACCAGAAATGCCAGGTATAGGAAAGCTGGATTGCAGGGGAAAACGTTTGACTTGAAGGTGGCATGGACAATCGTGTATTTATCAGATGAGTGTCACAAGGGGATTTCTCTGGACCGTCGACGCCGAGGCCACTCCACTGCACAGGTGACTTGTCCCGGCGCCCGGGGCTCCCCTGCCCGACCCGCGTCCGCGCCGCATCAGGAACCTGCGGGGCTGGGTTCGGTCCTTGGAGACGCCCCTGGCCCCGGCGGGGTGGGGACCCTCGACGGTGCCGGGCCGGCCGCGGCGCGGCGAGCGCGGCAGCCCCCGCGGGCGGACTTCCCCCGGGGCCGGCCGTCCTCGCGGGCCCGGGGCTCCGCGGCCGTGACGTCACGCGGGGACTGGCCGTTGCCGCGAGACGGCCGCGTTCCGGTTCCGGTCGGTTGCCCGGGAGACGCGGCTACACAGAGAGGAGCGGCGGCCGTCGGAGGCCGAGGCGTGGCGGCGGGTGCCCCTCGGTGGGCTCGCAGGCGGGGCGCGGACGGCCCGGGGCGCCGGGCGCGGGGCGGGCGCCATGAGTCAGAGGCAGGTGCTGCAAGGTAGGGCGCGCGCGGACGGCGGGGCCGCGGGGACGGCGGGGCGGCGGGCGGCCCGCTCCACCTGCCTCTCCCCGCAGTGTTCGAGCAGTACCAGAAAGCCCGGACCCAGTTCGTGCAGATGGTGGCGGAGCTGGCGACCAGACCCCAGAACATCGAGACGCTGCAGAACGCGGGTGAGCCTCACCCCGAACCCGCGGCGCCCGGCGCCCCCGGCCCTGCGCTGCCCCTCGAGTCCCTGGGCGCCCCGGGTCCTCGGCCCGGCCTCGCCCCGTGTCCCCGGCCGCCGCCTCCACCCTCGCCTGAACCCCGGCTCCCCGTCGCCCCGCTCCCCTGCCGGCTGAGCTTCTGGGGCAGGGCAGGATGGGGACAGGAGGGCGGCGTCCCTAAATGCCTCCATTCCACCGCGAAGGCTGGGGAAGCATTCAGTCTCTTTAGCGGGTCTTTCGGGGAGAGGCCAAAAGAGTGAAGCTTCCAGATTGGTGTGAGAGGGGCCTGATGTCCCTACTTCCGTCTTTATCACAACCAGGCAAGTGTCAGGTTGAAAGTCAAGGCGGTACGAATTGCCTGGAAGTCATTTTGCGTGAACGGGAATCTACCCTAATCAGACCCATTTTATCCGGGTGCCGTGGCTGTCACCCCTGCCTTTGATCATCTTCGACTTCCTCGCTCCAAAGGAATTCCAGAGCGGTTGACACATTGTTTCTCATCTTGTATTAGTGAAAGCGCAATGATATGCTTGAATATTTCCCAGGAGATTCAAAGTAGGTGAAGACCAAGCTTTGAGAAATCCTTATGGTGCTCTCATTCCACCCCCCAGTCCGAACTCAGGCAGACTCTAGAGGAGGAACAGTGTGTATGTGTGTGTGATTTACTTCTTATCTGTTAACATAAACTGACAGAGAAGATAATGGTGGTCCGTGTTCTGTTTTTTTTTTTTCCCCTCCTTTCTCTGATTAAGGGTGATTCCACTACAGTCTGAACTCAAACTCAGGTAGCATTTTATCACTAGTGTGTCATTAGAAATCTTCAATTTATAGGATGTGATCTTTAAAACTTATTTAAATTAACACAGAATTAAAAGGAAATTAAGAACATGTTGGCAGGGCAACAATGTTTAGACATCATGTTTACCCTGGGTTTCCTAGAGGGCAATTCCTCCTCCACCTAGATGTAATTTCTCTTGTCACTGAGAGGGGTTTTGGTGTTTGTTCCTTGTATGTTTTTATTTGGGCAGGGGGATGTATTTAGAATAGAGAAAATGTATTTTATAATCGTTTTAAAAAACTTTTTATTTTGAGATCATTGTAGATTCACATGCAGTTGTAAGAAATAATAGAGATCTCATGTACCTCAAAATTGTAGTATGATACCACAACCAGGATGTTGACATTGATAAAAATCCATCGATTTTATTCAGGTTTCCCAGTTTTACTCTTACTTATTTGTATGTTTAGTCTATACAATTTTATCCTGTGTGTCTGTCACCACTATAGTCAAGATGCAGAACACTTTCCCCATCACCACGAGGATCCCTTTTGTGTTGCCCTTTTGTAACCACACCCACTCCCTCTTGTCCCTAACCCTGGGCAACCATTGATCTGGTCTCCTTTTGAAAATTTTGTCATTTCAAAGTTGACAATCTTTTGTTCTGCAGTTGTTTCACGTGGATTTGGTTTCTTCTGACTGTGTGTGTGCTTGTGTGCATGCATGTATATTCCTCACAGTACCCAGAACAGGGCTGGACACACAGTGTTTCATGTATACTGACTAATTTACGTTTATTAGAGCATGTTATATTTTTTAGTTTTTTTCCTCTCAGTCCTACTCAGTGGCCTTTGTGAATGGACACATGCTATTTACAAATATTTAATTTCTGGATAAGATGTATGCAGCTAAACTAAAACATTATTTTTTAAAAGGGAAAATGATTGACATTAAAATATTTGACACTGAAAGGACAGATAACATTTAAGATACAGAGTGTCACATTTTAGTATACAGTGGCAGGTTGTCTCTTTCCATAGTGTACAATGTGGAATATATTATGGAATGTAATCCATCCAAACTGTTTGTCTACATGATCACTGAAGTATAAGTGACGTAGATATGACATTCTTAAATAGCCACCTATTTCTGCTTATGGTCTGGCTTATGAAGAAAAGAAATACAAAAGGAATATAACAATATTTTGGAGTTATCTGCACTTGACTAATATCTTGATGGAATACTAAGATTTTTCTTTTCCTGAGGACCTTACTTTAACATATTTCATGTTATCTAGATTCAATTTAAGTACTCCATTAGTAACTTTAAGTAGAGCTAGATAATGAATATTCCAATATATTTATTCTTTTAATTAAAAAATAACCTGTGAGCTTTGTCATGAAAACTTTTCTTTCTTAATAGTCAAGTAACTTAACCATTCAAATGGCTTATTCTTTAAAAAAAAAAACACTATGGAATTAAAAATGCTTTCGAACAAGCCCCTCTATGTATGTATTAATTAGATATTATGATCAAGCTTTTTTTTCAGTTCAAGTGACTTCATTTTGGTAGCATAAAATACCAATGCATTTTACACCTGGCTTTGACAACATGCAGTTGTAAGAAATAATGGAGATCTCATGTACCTCAAAACTACAGTATGATATCACAACCAGGAGGTTGACATACCTGCATACCTGGGAGGATTTTGTCTTGTCTTGTTTTTGCACTTTTCCCTCCAATAAACTGTTTAAATAAATATTACGGATGTATCATGGATCCAGAATAATGTGAAAAACATTTTCCATCTAGGCATCCTGATAAATAACTAGTTCACTTGTTAAGAATTTTTGAATTCATGCAACGTGAAAGGAACCTTCAAGGTGAAAATTATCAATGGAGTTTTATTTCATTTTAAATCTCTGATCTTTTTCATTGTGTTTTTGATGTGCTAATGAGAGAATTTGCCTTATTAAGTCTGTCCAAAGTAATTACCACAACAAACAAAATGTTGCAAGATATCTTCTTCAGAGTATTTGGGCAAAGAATAAGTTTGGTTTCTAAGCAAAATTGTTACTAGAAAGAACTGTGTACAATGTGTCTATAACCTAGAGTTTTTTTTTTCTCATTGAGATTTTATTCCTTCTAAATCAAAAGAACATAAATGAAAACATTGAAAAGTTTAATATTTGTTGTAAAACCTCTTTATGTACCCTCATACCCTGTGTGTTTGAACTATAACATCTTGCAGCTATTTAAAAATGAATTTTGATACTTTCCCTCTTTGAATAATCAGTAACACATGACTGTAATCGTAGAGACAATACATTGTTACTTCTAACAATTGTAGAATTTCAGCAATTGGAGGTGGTTGCCTAGTTATAAAATATAAGAAATCTGTTTTGTCACATATGGGAATACCAGGCCACTCTTAGGTTGTTTAGGAGGACTTCTGAAATAAGCTAATAAAAGCGCCAAGAAAATTATTTTTAAACTGCTTAGCTATGTAAATAAACTTCTGAATCAGCTATTTATATAATAAAAGTGAGAATAAAGTTTAAAATAATACTTTGTAACATTTTACATATAACCTATAGTAAAACAGTAAACATGGCAAATCAGTGATTATGCATATTTTCAGAAGAGTAGAAATAGACGAGTTTGCATAACACTTTAAATATGCATCTGTATGAAGCTAATTTGCAAATTGAGACAATTTAATGGGTTCAGAATTCAAGAAAATAAGTAATATATATTGACATAAAATGATTTTAAATTACATGTGTCTGGGGCAGGGTGAAAATCTTCAGATTGGTTAATTATCTTCATAGCACCTCAATTTGCTATGAGAAGGGAAAGCCTCAGTATAGTGTATTTAAAACATATCCTGTTAGGTACATGTACCATGATTCTCTTACAAAGACTACTGTTCCAGAAGATATTGAAACTGAAAAGATAATCAGTAGAGCAACTTCAAAAAACTAATCATGCTGTTTAAATTTGATGTGTTTTACTAGTATAAAAGGAGTCCCTTATAGTTGTGAATCTCAGATAATTAACTCAAAGCACTGACTTTAAAAAAAAAAAGATAGGGATAGAGGTTTGTTACATATGCTTAAGTGCAAAATATTTCAGGGAACTATAAAAATTCTGAACCTGTATGCACCTAACAACATGTCCTAAAAACGAGATTATTCAGAATTTGATTCTGTGTTCCAAACCATTGTCCCTACATGGAATTTATCTGTTTTGTTATCTAAGCATTGGTACAGAAGTAGAAAATAATTTATCCAGGGCTAGGGTCTCATTGTTTTCTTTGGAAAAACTGGACAACTAAAAAAAAAATCTAAGGCTATAAGAGTGGAGCTTAGAAATGGCAAATTTTGTGGGTTAAAATTTAATGTTACAGATTAAGTGTTTTGAAAAGTTAGGTATTTCTTAATTCCACTTTACACTTGCCTGTTGTTTCCTGGCCTTTTCCTGCACTTCTTTGCCTAATTAATTTCTACTCATTCTTTATGGCTCTGTTTAGATGTTGATTCCTCAGGGAAACCTTCCTTGAGCCCTCACAGTAACTTAAGTCTCTTGATTTATGCTTTCCTTGCTCCTAGTATAGTCTCTCTTTCACAGTACTTATCACAATTATAATGATTTAGTTTCTGTTTTCTCTGCTAACTGTAAATTCCATGCCTGGCATAATGCTTAGCAAAGAGCAGATGTTAACATGTTTAAATAGAATGAAGGAAGGAGTAATTATTTTTCTAAGTGTTTTCACATCTCTTAAAAAATTAGATTCTTATAACAGCTCACCTAGGTGGAGCAGGTATCTTCTTCAGTGTGGATGCTTAAGCCCCAAGCAGGTTGGATAACTGGCCTCATCACAAAGTGAGTTAGTGGCCAGACTGAGACTAGAGCCTGTTTCCTAATTGCTGCCTGGCCGTGTGCTCTTTCTGCGTTACCCTGTAGGTATCAGTACACCATTGTTAGAGGGCTCTAGGAGTTCCTAATAAACCTCAGTGTTAGCTGTTAAAACAAGTCATCTGTTTAGGCCTTTGGGTACCAATAGCTGTCCGGTAATGGTGAGTAATTGGCTTTTGAGGTCTCCTTGAGGACCATTATGGGAGTTTGAGTGTAGGCCAGATGCAGAGGACTAACTTTAGTTGATAAATACACGGAGTTTTGAGGTAGC